GCTCTTTGGTCTCTCGAAGTTGGAAGGTCGTTGGTTAGCGCTTCGGAGATGTGTTGGAGCTAGATATCAGGTCACTGAATGCCTGCGTGCTCTGTCAGTTTTGTGCGAACTGGTGATTAGAGATTATAATAGTTACAGTGGCGGACAGTGACTCCTACCCATGTGTCCCTTTCCCTTGGCCATCGGTGAAATACGAACACATAATAATAACACTATTTTGAAACTCGGATGTTGAGCCGATAAAAAATGTAGAAAGGAAAAAGGACATACCTGTATGTACATAATCGGACTTGTTCATGGATTCTAAGGCCATTTTCTTCTTATCGTCTTCAACTAGAAGTGAAGGGTAGCCAAAGATGATCAAGTCATTAGACAAGTCGAAGTGCATGGTGAATCAGTGCACAGTAGACCAGAATAGAGGCGAACATAGCCGGATATCAGTGGTATAAATAATTGTGTACTGGCTTGTGGTTGTGATGGTGTAATTCTCACCAGGCTGTGATCCCCTCACGATCACACCCATTGGAGCGAGTTACCATGGTACCAACTAGGCAACACCACACACACACATCACACGCGCACGCACACGCACCGGAGGCCTTCGAAGGCCCAGGAAGGGCTGTGGAGCTGTAACCATGGTAACTAGTTACATGTACTTCAAGTAAATTCGAGCACTCCACTCAGTCTTCGGCCGCTCACCGGGCACCAGTCAGACGTCGGCATTCCTTCGCTTCCAGTGTTTGTGTACCACTGTACACTACTGCTCTTCACATGTTGTGTATTTATCGAGCACTCTGTTCGAACTGCATGCCTCCAGTCTCCACCGTCCCTGTTTGTTTCAACACTAGGGAGTAGTTGCATGATACCTGCCTGATCAACACACACACATAAAGACATGAACTCAGAGGTGATCACACAGCAGTGCTTCAACTACTGAAGTACAAGCGTCAGGAGCAATGTCTGATGTTGGAGCTTGACTATGTCCTCTGCCTCGTTGGGTAGGGTAGGGTAGGGTTGGGCACTGTCCTTGTTGCAATGCGGCGAGGTAAGCGTCATCAAAATAATCATGATTTTAATGTGTTTGTTTCAAGACACTTGGAGCACTTTAACTAGACGTATCCCGTTGTTTGCGAAGAACGTCCACTGGTTTGCAGTACATGCTTCATCAACATGGGACTCGTAACTTAGTCCTAGTATTGAGTATTGTGGCGCTTGAAGTTTGTACGTAGTTTTATGAGGTTGAAACCCAGTCCCCAGGCGACGGTAAGTCATGTAACGAATCACTTTGCCGATGATGGTCACTGTAGACCCCGATGTCGATAGTAGCGAAATCGGAGAGATCAACTCCTCCACCTTCTCTGGGTGTTTCTTCTGACCGGCTCTCTGAAAGCAATGGGCGGTCACACAAAAACTCCCCCCCCCCCCCCCCGACATTTCGTTGGCATGCGTTGCCAGGAATGGCCGACGTCGTTCTATCGGGTCCCCTACTGATCACATTTTGTTCTACCACCAAGTACCAGTACAACTCACGCAAAGTTCGTTGTGTTTAATAATAATAATAATAATAATAATAACAGCTCGCATGTACCCCATGGGTGAGATCACCCATGGGGCTAACGCATCTGTCGGCAAAAGAGTTAGAGAAAACGAGAAACACATGACATACACACCTTTTTCATTCTGTTATTGCAGGGAAAAACTACCTCGATTCCACCATGAGCCTAGGCATGAGGAATATAATATTAATTAAGTACAGAATGTTATTTACCAAAAGGATATTCAAGTAAGCGCAGATATTTTTTAGCATGATAAGTTAGTACATTGATTCACAATGCCGAGCCAAGCTTCCCTGTCTTGGGAAATAGCTTCCGCTTCGGCAATGGAAACGTTTATTGTCTTTAAGTCATTCTTGATGTTGTCGATCCATCTGGTGACGGGGCGTCCCCTGGGCTTCTTGATGTCTTTGGTGTCGATTGAAAGTCTTAGAGCTTTGTAGGATGTCGAGTCACTGCCTTCTCTGATTACATGGCCGAACCATAACAAGCGCCGTTCCCTGCATGTTCTGGTTGTGTTTATAATAATAATAATTATCTTATTTCAGGATTACCCCGAAGGCTACCTTATCGCAGTCAGAGTATTCTGACTTTGATGCTTTGAGCCGGTCGTTCATTGACTTCATTGGTATTGGTTCGGCCAGTAACTCCCAGCTCCGCTGCCAAGACCTACTTTTCAGTAACAAGATCTAAACAGGGGTAACTGTCCGGTGACAAAGTTAGATAGTAGATACGCTGGTACATGGGGTACTGAATCTGTCACCGCACGAGGTCACTGCCAATGGCAATGTCCTTACAAGTAGGCAGTGGCTTGTACAGAGACAGTGCACCAGCGTAGACGTACTTGCATCCTCTTTCTCGGGCAAACAAAACACAATGTGCTATTTATGGAGGAGTAGAAATCAGTTCAAGTAGTGAAAACAACTGAATGAAAGGAAGAATGTGATATTAGTTAAATTTAAAACTATTTTAATAATAATTGGAACCCTGCTCAAATACAGCAAAATTCAATGAAGCAGGCATTGTCATGGAATAAGAATGCCATGCACTCTCACAGTATAGAAACACACTATGAGAATCAGCGTATGTAGTAAGAGTAGTTCGCCTAGCTAGGCTATATGGGGTTATTCCTAATGCCAGTAATGGGCAAGGCCTCGACAGTACTCTGATTGCCCAAGTGCTAGCAACGGCGTGACAAGAGGCCGTTGCTAGATATATAGATCAGGCTTTCAACGTTCTGAATCTGCTGCCAAAAGCGACTCAGCCACTATACTCCAGCTAGAGTTCGTACGAGAAACTCGGGTGCATATGCTGCGCCTATAGTGCATAGTGGGAGGGGTTGCGACTTGTAGTTTGCAGTATCACCTTTGACGGCTTCGTAACTGGAGTGAACACGTGTGCAGCTCGTTTTGGGTGTCATATCGTACATCGTGGCCTTCCGTATACCGGTACCGGTACATGTACATACATCAGTATTGAGTACGATTCAAGTTCACATTTTTCATCGGCAACCTTCCCGTTGACTGGAAATTGTCCCCAGGCAGACAATGTTTTGCTAGAACACACACGAGTTCGACAACTCACCCAACTGAACAGACCAGGAGAGTCATATTTTAGGAATTATTTTAGTCAATAGCATAGTGGATGCCAGACAGAATAGCTGCCTGTGGTACTAGGGCTCTCGGGAGAAGAGGACAGCGAATGGACGCATCCGTTTATGGAGATTCGGCAGCCGACAAGTGGACTTTGTTGCTTTCCAATATCGGCGAGTGCTGAGCGCTGCTGGCCAACTGAAGGTAAGGACATCATTCTTGCCTCTACATGCTGCTCAACTTAATCTTGCTGAGACCTTGCAGCCTAGCTACACTAGTGTTTGTTGTCATAGTGTGTGCTTGGTTAGGATGAAATAGCTCCTAAAGTAGGATCTATTTTCAATCTGATGATCGATTCAGTTCGTGAAGCACAGAGTTACGACAAACAACTGCTCCTTCTTCTGGCTGTCTAGCTCCTAAAGTATTCAGTGTCGAAGATTGGGTTGGGTGTCCGTAATCCTAAGTGTATGACCTACATCCGGAAACAAACAACCACGCACCAATAGGAGAACAGTGCGTGTCTAGTCGCAATGAGCGGATACAGCGTAAACTAATTACATGAAGTACAATGCAGTGAACAGGTTCAGAGAAAAATTATTATGATTGTTTAGCCATGGGTCAGATGTTGAGAGCATTTTCAACCATTCAGTCCAAAACGCATTTCTTCGAGTCATAATCTGGAACAAAGGAAGCTAAAATGTGCAGAAGGGCCTAGTATCTTCAATACTCCCAGGCTCCACTGCCACTGGAGCCAATTATTCACCTCTTTACATTATCACCATCACCACAGCTTGTCTTTCACTGCAATTTCTATTGTTACAATCTCCCAATTTTGCCCTTGCGGCTTCAGTGTATTTTAGTAATACTAATTATTGAATGCATGGATGCGGCTAATGGGATCTCCGTCTTTGACCACTTGGTGGTGGGTCTGATCTACTCACCTCCCACCGTTTAGGCGCTGCATCTGCGCCTTTGATCCTAGAGGGTGGTGGCGTTCCCACGGCAGATGCGGAAAACTCGGCTTCCAGCGTGAACCGTGAAATTTATTTTCTTTATTTTTTTAGAAGAGAAAAGGACATATGGATACGAGTTAAGAGTAACTCTCCATCACTGTAACATGATACTTTATACAGTCAGAAAGTGACTGTATAAAGTATCATGTTACAGTGATGGAGAGTTACTCTTAGAGAGTTACTCTTAACTCGTATCCATATGTCCTTTTCTCTTCTACATTTATTTATGGCTCAACATCCGAGTTTTATTTTTTTAATTATTGAAATTGCATTGAAAGTCTGTGGTCTGTGGTGACGGTGATTATTCAAATACAGGCACCAGTATCCTTTTCTAAAGAAGCTCATTTTACCCTTTTACCCTTGTGAATTTGTCAACTTGTCATAGGCACAGATGTGAATCTCTAGGCAGATTATGATTATTATTATTATTATTTCGTAATTAATGGAAAAACAGTTTCGTAATCAATATTTGCATGCAACGACGCAAATCCACACAATTGTGTGGATTTGCGTCGTTGCATGCGAATATTGATTACGAAACTGTTTTTCCACCGCCTCCAAACTACCGTTTGAATTATTATTATTATTATTATTTTAACTGGTTTGAGGGAAAGAGACAAACGGGAAAAGTCTGAAGAAAAAATTGACTGTCACCACCAGGACTCGAACCAGGGACCCTCGCTTGTAGCCAGTGATGCTCTAACCACTGAGCTATGGTATAGTCGTCATCCCAGCAGAGGCCGTTCAACATTTTCTTTTATTATTATGATTATTATTATTATTACGAAAACGATCCCAAGGCAATAATGTCTATCAAGGGATTCATTTGATTGATAGAACAG